TTGACAATACCGGGTGTATTGTGTAGGACACGAGGACAAGGAAGGAACTCACGAGAGGTAGTAAGAAGGATCGATCGTTCTTGCTGGATTCTTACTCTCGTTCGGGGCAGCTTGATGGACATATGTATGGGACGTCGTCAGGCGGTGGTCGTGCATGGGCAAAGTCGGGCAAGGAGGAGTTAATTAACGGGCGCTAGGAGTAATGCTTTTGTTCTTAGTAGTGATAGTTTGGTATATCTAGTGAAGTTACCTGACTGGGATTTATGACATTTTCGATTGGGTCATCCCAATTCTGTAAGACTTCCTACTATGTTTAAGAATAAATGGTTGTCGTGTACTGTTTTGGATAATCATATTCATGAATGCGTTCGTTGTTTGCAAGCTAAGATAACGCATACTTCCTTTCATTCGAGTACTACCGTTTATTCCGAACCTTTTGATCTTGTCCATACTTATTTATGGGGTCCCTCTCCAGTTACTTCTAGACTTAAATAGTGCTACTTTGCATTGTTTGTGGATCATGCTACCCTCTTTACATGGGTATTCTTTCTTCGTCAGAAATCTGATATGTATTCGGTGGCGTAGGTGTTCTTAGCCATGGTTTCTACTCAGTTTAATCGGGTTGTTAAGATACTGCTTTCCGATCCTGGCGGGGAGTTTACTTCTAATCCTTTGCAGAGTTTGCTGAAGGACGGGGTATAATTTCTGTACAGTCTTGTCCTGGTGTCTCGCAGCAGAATGGCTTGGTCGAGCGTAAACATCGCCATGTTCTTGAATTGACTCGAGCTATTCTTTTCCACTCACTGGTTCCTTCCGGGTTTTGGGTTGAAGCGGTACATGCAACATTATACTTGATTATTCGTTAGATTAAACTTGTTCTTCAACAACGGAGTCCATATCATGCGTTATATCCTCGGATTCCTAATTATGGTTGGTTGCGTGTATTCGGCTGCGTCTGCTATGTTCGCTTAACTCGTAGCGAGCGCAATAAGCTTACTCCCAAATCCGTCAAGTGTGTTTGTTGGGCTACTCCGAGAAACATAAAGGGTATTTATGCTATGTTTTAGTTGCTCGTCGACTTCGCATATCCTGTCATGTGGTTTTTCTTGAACATCAGCTCTACTACAATATTGGCGGGTCCGCAGCCTCATCTCCTCCTGACTTAAGCTTCTTAGATCCTTCCGAGTTCTCTTTTACAACTATAGATCCTGCGAAGCACCCCATGCCTTCCACGGAGAACACCAACACTAACGAGAGCTCGGCCTCCACTCACTCATTTACCTCGTCGTCATCTTCAGATAATGGTTCAGCATTCTCATCCTCGACCTCCAGCTCCGACTCTGGTTCCTCCTCTCCTGCGACAAGCTCGCATTCCAGCTCCCACTCCAGTTCAGGGTCATCTACTACTTCTACATCTACTACTGTACATGATGTGGAACCTGCAGTTCCTCCTTTACGCCGCTTCGACCGCGCCAACAAGGGTAAGCCACCAGCAAATCATTCTGATTTTATTGCATTCTCCACTCCTGTAATTGTGGTTCCTGCTACTTATAAACAGGTCAAAGGCAAGGACGAATGGGACAATGCAATGGTGGTTGAAACGCAAGCATTGGAAGCTGCGCATACATGGAATTTGGTTCCGCGGTTGCCCGAGTACTCAGTCATTGGGTGCCGGTGGGTGTTTACTATGAATATGAATCCCAAAGATACTGTAGAGCGCTTTAAGGCGAGGTTAGTATATCAGGGTTTTTGGCAAGAATACGGTATTGATTATACTGAGGCCTTTGCCCTGGTTGCAAAAATGCAAACTGTACGCAGTTTGTTGGCTGTAGGTCCAATGAAGGGATGGTCGTTGATTCAGCTAGATGTGAAGAATGCTTTTCTTCACGGTTATCTGAAAGAAGAAATATATATGGAACTTCCTCCTAGTTATACGAAGGGTGACAATTCTATGGTATCTCATCTGCGTCGGTCAGTGTATAGGTTAAAACAAGCTCCACGTGCATGGTTTCAGAAATTCCATGACACCATTGTTCAGACTGGTTTTCAGCAGAGTGATAGTGATCCTTCCTTATTTCTACGGACTACTGCACGTGGATTAACTGTAATCTTGATCTATGTTGATTAAATGATGGTTAGTGGTGATGATGCGATGGGGATTCAAGAAGCAACTCAGTCCTTGCGTTTGGCCTTTAACTTGAAAGAGCTCGGTGATCTATCATATTTTCTAGGATTAGAAATTCATCGTTCGGCTGCGGGGATTCGCATTGGGCAGCGAAAATATGTCATTGATTTGCTTGAGGAGGCGCAGATGGATGAGTGCCTTGCCTGTGCTACTCCGATGGAACAAAATCTCAAGTTTCGACAGTCAGACGGTGATCTATTTGCTAATGGAAAACTATATCGCAGTATTGTCGGTAGCTTGATTTATTTGACACACACACACGTCCTGATATTTCTTATGATGTTCAGATTGTCAGTCAATTCATGTCTTCTCTCCGAACAGCCCACTGGTCTGTTGTACATCGTATTTTGCGCTATCTCTGTGGGAGTACGAAAGTCGGGCTATTATTTCCTGCAAGGGGCGAGCCGGTGCTAGAAGCATATGTTGATGCTAATTATGTTGGTTTCTTGGATACTCGTCGATCGACTTCGTGATGGTGTGTTAAAGTCGGCAGTTCATTTATTTCCTGGCGGTATAAGAAACAGGACAGGGTGTCTAAGTCATCTAATAAGTGATGTCTATCTGAGATTACCTGGCTACGTCGGCTGCTTGCTGAATTGAGGGTTGTTTTTCAGTCCCTGGTTCGTTTACATGTTGACAACACCTGTGCAATTCGTATAGCCACGAATCCAGTGCTGCATGACAAGACCAAGCACATTGAAGTTCACGTACATTACATTCTTCAGCTTGCGACTGAAGGATCGGTGGAGTTAGCGTATATCACTTTTGAAGATCAGACTGTGGATCTGCTGGCAAAAGCAGTGTTCTCTACTCGTCATTGGTTTCTAGCACACAAATTGATGTTGCGCAAGCATCATCGATTTGAGGGAGGGTGTTAGAATTTAGAGGATTATTATGTAATTAACCCTTTAGGGTTAGTGTATTTCGGCCTAGTATATATTGTGGAGAAGACCATATTATTCCTGTAACATATACGTAAGCAATAAGAACTACAAACTGCTTTGTGCCGTGGACTGGTCTCAACGATCATCGTTGAGAAAACCACGTAAATCTTGTGTCCCGTGTTCATGTTGGTTCGATTCAATTAGGGTTTTGACAGATATCATTTTCTTTCTTTTAACCATTCGTTTCATTACTCGTTAATCTAGTCTTATTTTTACATTTTACCCTTATTAATCCTTTATTAGAGTCTCGGTAGGATTTGCAGATTGACCACATCTACAAATATGAGAATTTCTCTGTGGATCACATCAACGAGTTGCCGATTGATAACATAAATGGCCATAAGAGCTTTTATTTGTTTGTTCCTTATGGTTTGATGCAATCAGAAAGAGAAGAGAAGATGGAGTGATAATATTCGTGATTACATGGGTATCGTTGGGTTGAGTTTGATTTTTATCTTCCGAAATCCAAAAAGTATTTTATCGAGTTTTTCATATTGATGTACCAGCTAGATTGAGTTTGGATTTAGAGAAAACTCCACCCAATTCAATCCATCGCAGTCCCTAGCTACGTGATTACAATATACAGGCGGGCGTGCCAATTTTCTTCACTTTGCTCGTTCGTATTTATCATAACACAACAAATACTTGTCCCTAATATTCAATAGATTAAGTTTAACCTTAATTGGTTTCAAATTTCACATAATCCACAACCCTCCTCCTTTATCTTCTCTCCCCATTAGGACAACCATTAAATAAATAAATAAATAATATTGAGTTTGATTCAGTACAGTAATAAAACGTGATTAGGAGATGGTCAGAGCGAGTCTCCATACGAAACTATCAAATTTCCTTTTGGACGATGACCTTAAAATGTCCTGTTTTGATTGTTTCTGCGTGATAAATAACCACCCGTGTATACCAATTCAGAGCATGTTTTGTTTTAATTATATCAATGACGGTAGTTTGCTTTTGCTGGGCAATTATTAATTTTCTGCAATCATCACATGCTCTGAATTGGTATACGCCGGCGGCGATAGTTTGCACACAAAAACAAGAAAAGGTAAACGGCGGCGGAAAGTTTCCGGTTAACTGAATAGGGAGTATTACGGTGGCAAGCATTCGGACTTTTCTCACGTAATTAAAAGGAAAACATTCAATGTATACATAGACGAACTAAGAAACAAGAAAATTAAATCGGTTGCATAGAGAAGAAGATTCAAAGTCTCCCCATTTCCCACTGGCCACATTGAACAATCCGAGGCCAATTAGGATCGGACTAAATATTCGCACCGCCGCTAGAGAATGGAACTACGTGCAAAAAGTTGTTCAGGAATTAAAGGATTGTAGATCGATTTGTGTGATCCAGTCTTAATGTAGCGACTAAGATCTGCAACACTGCCGAGATGACGTCCATTGCTAAATCTTGGGCTGATCTGTTTGGTATCGCTGAAGCGAATCGTTTGGTCTTCATCGAACCAGAGATAGTAGACGGAGGGTTGCACATTCCGGAGGAGCTTGTTCAGGAAGGTGAAGAGAGGTGGAAGTACAGTCTGGTGGGGCAATTCTTGCACTCCTCCCCTTCTGTGAAGCAGCTTCAGAGTTGGGCGAATCGACTGTGGGGGAAATCAGGATGGGTTAGGGTTTCTCGACTAAGCGAGCAGCTGACGGTTTTCCAATTCCCAAGTTCTGAAGTTGCCGATTGTGTTTTCACCAGCGGGCCGTGGCATTTCAACGATGATATGTGTTTCCTTCGCAAATGGTCTCCGGGTATCAGAGCAGTGGATTGCAGTTCTACCATCCCTATCTGGGTTTGTTTTCAGGATATCCCGGTTGAGTATGCTACTGGTAGAATACTGACGAGGATAGCTAGTATGCTTGGAAAACCCCTTTGGTTCGATCAATCCACTAGGTTAGGCAGGAGAATGGGATTTCCTAAGGTTTGTGTGGAGATGTCTATTGATTCTCCTTTCCCAGATTCTGTCAAGTTGGTCCCAGACAGGAAACCAGCTTTCTCAGTGGCTCTTGAGTACTGCAATCGTCCTCTGGGGTGTCAGAAGTGCAGGGTTTTTGGTCATCAGTGTGCTGAACCTCAAGGGGAAGAGGCAACTGGTTCTGATCAGCATGCTGAGCCAGTGACTGAAGAGGTTGGGGCAGTGAGTGAAGGGGGTGCTGGAAGACTTATCTTGGATTCTATACTTGCTTCCAGGGGATCTGCACAGGCATCAGCGGAATCTGCTTGTCATAACCTGAATGTGGCTGTTGCAAATTTGGTTAAGTCCATTGAGCAGGGAGTACTTTCAGAATGGAGAAATGCTGAATCTGTGCTGCCTTCGGATAAGGAGTTCCACTCAGCTATAGAAGGACAGTCTGATGCAAGGGTCTCTACACCTGTGGTGAATAAATTCCCAAGTCCTAGCTGATAATAGTGTAGCTAACAAAGCAGGTCCAATGGTTGTTGGTAGTCCAGTTCTGAGTAACCTGGAGGAGTTCCCTGTGCTGGAGGTGGGGGTGTTGGAAAAAGGTAAGCAGGGTAAGAAGGGGCCAGGGCGCCCTGCCAAACCTAAGAATAAGAAATGATAGTGGTGGCTTGGAACATCAGGGGATTTAATCACCCCGCCAAGCAGAAGTAGGTTTTAGATGTAGTTAATCAGTATAATGTAGATGTTTTTGGAATTCTTGAAACAAGGGTCAAAGAAGAAAACTCAAAAAAGATTGTTAGCAATGTTTTTGGAAGGTGGGAGTTTGCTCACAATTATGAGTACTCAGATTTAGGCCGATTATGGGTGTTTTGGAAGAAGGATTTAGACTTTGTTGTATTGGAAAGAACTGATCAGTTTGTTCATGGTGAAGTCAGGGGAGAAGTTTCAGCAAGGGTAACTTTTGTGTATGGTTCAAATGACGTAGGGGAGAGATCTAGAATGTATCGCCATCCAACTCTAAAACCTTATGCACTCCCATGGATGGTTCTTGGGGATTTTAATGCTATAAAGACTGTCTCTGAAGCCTCAAACAGCCCTAGCCCAAACAATAGCATGGAGTCTTTTGGAAACTGGATAGAAGACATGGAACTTGAAGATAGCAGATTTGAGGGGCCATGGTTCTCATGGACTAACAGGCAAGGGGGAAATCCCATTGCTCGGAGGATAGACAGGGTATTGGTCAATGCTAGTTGGTTAGCTGCATTCCCAAATTATGTGGTCAAACTGCTTCTTCCAGGGCTCTCGGATCACTGTGGAATGCTGGTAACTACTGACTCTCTTGTTTCTACCCTACCAAAGCCCTTTAAGTATTTCAAGCACTGGGAATCTCACCCTCAGTACAAGCAACTCATAAAGGATGCGTGGGGGAAAACTCTTAAGGGCACTCATATGTTTGTAGTATGTCAGAAGTTGAAGGAAGTAAAAAGAGGCCTGAAGAAATTAAATAGAGTGTTCTATTCTGAGATCTCAGAGAAGGTAAGGGAAATGAAAAAGAAGTTGGAGAACCTGCATCTGGTTGCTTTGTCCTCTCCTTCTGCTTCAAGTTTTCAGGACCTGAATGAGTGTCAAGCAGCTCTTAATACTTTACTTCTTGAGGAAGAATCTTTTTACAGACAAAAATCAAGGATGATTTGGGTGCAGACAGGGGATCTGAACACTGCTTTCTTTCATAATTCTGTAAAAGCAAGGCAATCTCGATCTACCATAAAGAAACTAGTAGCTGAGGATGACACAATTCTTATAGAGGTTCAAGATATGAGCAGGGAAGCTGTTCGGTTTTATAAAAGGTTGTTGGGGACTAGGGATAAGGCAGTAAGAGCTGTTTCTAGTGACCTGCTCACTCAGTTGCTCACTCACCGTCTGTCTTCAGATCAGGGAGGCTCTTTGTGTACTCAAGTTTCCTATGAAGAAATAAAATCTGCCATGTTCTCAATGAATGGTGATAAATCCCCAAGCCCTGATGGGTTTACAGCGGGCTTTTTCCAGCATAATTGGGAGATAGTAGGGACTGATGTCTCAACAGCTATTATGGACTTCTTCAGGACAGGGAAGCTCCTCACAGAGGTAAACTCCACCTACCTGGCTCTTATACCTAAAATGCTAAATGCTGACTGCATGAAGCAGTTTAGGCCTATCTCCTGCTGTAACATCTTTTATAAGTGCATAGCTAAAGTCCTTGCTAACAGATTAAGAGAGGTTCTCCCCCTAGTTATAAGTCAAAACCAATCTGCCTTCATTAAAGGGAGACTCATTAGTGATAACGTGTTGCTTGCTCATGAGATGGTTAGGCTTTATAACAGGAAATCTGTATCTCCTAGATGTGCTTTAAAGGTGGACATAATGAAAGCATTCGATAGTGTAGACTGGGACTTCTTGGAAACAGTTATGGGGGCAATGGGATTTCCTAGTCAGTTTGTAAAATGGATTAGTATATGCCTGCACAGTACCAAGCTCAGTGTTAGCTTTAATGGAGGCCTTTGTGGGTATTTCTCTTCAAAGAAGGGGCTGAGGCAAGGGGACCCTTTGTCCCCTTACCTTTTCACAATCTCAATGGAAGTATTCTCTTGTATGTTGAATAGGGCCTATGTACTCAAAACTCTTCCCCCACACCCCCAAACACATAGGATAGCCCTATCCCACCTTTGTTTTGCGGATGACTTGCTCATTTTTACTAAAGGGTCTTGTGAGGCAGTGGAGACCACAAAACAGATCCTAGACCTGTTCTATACTGTGTCAGGACTGAAATGCAATCCAACAAAAAGTGAAGTTTTCTGTGCTGGGATAGATGCTGAAACTAAGGGTCAAATCACTATGAGAACTGGGTTTGTAGTAGGGGCACTTCCAGTACGTTACTTGGGAGTCCCTCTGATTGCTGGGAAGTTAAATACTGCTGATTGTGCTGCTTTAGTTGAAAAAATAACTGCTCGTATTAAGGGTTGGAATGTCAGAGCTCTCTCCTATGCTGGGAAACTGCAATTAGTTACAGCTGTTATTTCCAGTATAACGCAATATTGGATGGGGATTATTACCCTGCCTGTCAAGGTGATCAAGCAGGTTGAAAAACTCTGCTCTGATTTTCTTTGGAATGCTGAGGAGGAGGGAAAAAAGGCAAAGGTAAACTGGAAATATGTGGCTAGGCCAAAACAGGAGGGAGGTTTGGGGTTCAAGGATCTCAGAAGTTGGAATTCTGCCTGTCTTATCAGACATTTATGGGCACTGGCTTCAAATTCCTCCTCTCTATGGGCTCGCTGGGTTCGTCAGTATCAGCTCACCTATACATCTATATGGGACATTCCATCTTCAATAAACTGTTCTTGGGCATGGAGGAAGGTCTTAATGCAAAGGGACTATGCAGAAAATCATCTCTCTGTTAGGCATTCTGAGGTCTATTGGGATGGCCAGCTTATGAGCAAGTACTCAGTAACGAAAGTTTGGGAGTCTCTTCGACCCAAATATGATAAGGTTCCTTGGTATGGATTAATCTGGAAATCTCTATGTACACCTAGAGATAAAGTTCTTGGGTGGCTTATTATCCTCAACAGGATCAGCACAATGGACAAGGTACAGGCTTGGAATCCATCTGTTAACAACATATGTCCCCTATGTATAGCTACATCAGAGTCAAGAAGTCATTTGTTTTTTGATTGCCCTTATTCTCAAAAGGTCTTGCAGGCTGTCTTTCGCTCGAGGTTCCAAATAGGAAGAAGCTGGGATGAGAATTTGGCGATTGCTTTAGGCCGGTTTAAAACAACTTCACCAAATTCTGACAGGGGCAGGCTGTTTTGGTTGACAGTGGTGAGTGAATTATGGCGGGAGCGGTGCCGAAGGTTGTATGGTAGTGAGACTCTAACAGAGGAACAGCTGCTGAAGAAACTGCAGCGGATGCTGCTTTTACTAAGGAGTGGTTTTCCTCAAGTTAGTTCAGTGGTCAGTGAGGCAGAGATAATCAGTATAGTGTAACATTTTGTTTGATTCTTGTTTTTAGACAGGCTTGTTGTTGATTAGTAGCTGTAGTTGTAGCCAGGGTGTTTGCCACAGTCTCTGTAATCAGACAGTTTGTAGCTTGGTACCAGTTAGAATGGTGTTTTGCCATTCTTTCTTGATGAATACACAACTTATTCATTAAAAAAAAAAAAAAGAGAGAATGGAACTACGTGCAAATTGTATTGTAGCAAAAGGAAACAAACAAGAAATGGAAAAGTCGGCCGTCAAACGATGAATGGAATTGGAAGTGATGAACCAAAAAAAAAACAAAAAAAAAGTAAACCCACGTGGACGTTAGCCTATCATTAACTAGCTAGGTCAGCAGTAGTGACGGACACGTCAGTAGAAACAACGAGTGGACTGTGGAGGGCCATGCCATGTCATCAGCTGTCCTTTTTTCCAATCTTCTGTAGCCACGTTTTTGGATGGAGAATGAAAAAAGTAACATTTTTTATATTAAGAAAAAAAAGTTGATAGAATGGGGAAGCCGTGTCGGAGCTAAAGAACCCAGCGTGATCTAGCTGGCAACTCGTAATATACTCTCCTTGAGGATGAACACGTTGGGTTGTCTAATGTCTTTGTCTATATCGCTATGGTGCTAACCGTACTGTTTTAAAATTATATAACTCAGCCCAATATGGAGTTTGACATGCCAAGAAGATATGTCTTATTTTTTATTTTAAAAAAATTTGTGTATGATAAATTGCTTCGATATTATAAAATAATATAATTTAAAAACTAGTAAAAATTGATTAACTAAATAATATGGTACCAACAAATATAATATGAGATTAGTTATGTTCAACATTTCACTATTATTATTTTTTCATCATGACATCAATCACATGTATCATACATGACATACAAAATGATTGTACCAAATACGAGTTAAGATTTTAGTAAACAAAACTAGATTGAACTCAACTCGACTCGTTATTAAACCCGCCAAGTTCAAACCCAACCCGTATATTAACGAGCCGAGCTCAAACTGAGGTAAAACTCGACTCGACTCGGCTCATTTGCCGCCCTACGTGGAATAGAAGTATCTGTTGCAAGAGCACTTCTACTATACTATATAGCATTGGTGCTTTAATGTACAACTTGAAGTTGTACCATAACATTAAATGTATAAGTTTAGGCTGTACCATAAAGGAATTTGTAGCATTATGTTATGGTGCAACTTTACAACTTGAAGTTGTTCCATCACATAAGGTACAAGTTTAAGTTGTACCACAAAAGAATTTGTACAAAAAGTATAGGTACAATGTGAAGTTGTACCATAACATTAAAGGTACAATTTCAAGTTGTACCATAAAGGCAAAAACCTATAGCACCAATGCTATATAGCATTGTAAAATTCCTCCTGTTGCAAGAGAAAAAAGGTTAGAAATATCAAATAAGGAAGAATCATTAATATAACAGCATGTATTAAATATTAATACCATGCTTATATTTGGACGGTTACCTTAAACTCATTTTAGGTAAGTATATAAATTTTGTTTACATGATATCTTGAACTAATTCCCATATATATATTTCCCTTAGACTACACTTTACATAGACTGTTGTCATAAACATCAGACCTGAAACCCAAAAGAAACATGACAACAAGCCAGACCACAAGGATCATTGTAGCACTTCCGGCGGTTCTGGCGGCGGTGGCGGCCATACTACTGGTCATCATCCCACCGTCGTCGGCGTGGTTCTGGACCTACGAACACGTCCACATAGTGAACGAGCTGGACGGCGGGAAGACGCTGATCGCCCACTGTCACTCCTTGCAACACGATTTGGGTGTCCAATACGTCAACGCCGGGGAGGAGTACGAGTGGAGGTTCAAGCCACGTGTATTCAAACGAACCCTCTGGCGCTGCTACTTGGCACCGGACGGTTTTCGCCACGTGGCGTATGACGTGTACAACGAGTCGAATCAGGTCGTAGATTACGATTTTAACGTGTATTGGGTTGCGAAGGAAGATGGGATCTATAATAGAGACCATGTTAACCGTCAGGATTTCTTCTCTCAGCCGTGGGACGCCGGACGCCTTCCAAGTTTGATTGGTTGATGCAATGTATTATGGGAACTTAATAATAATGATATATGATGCATCTGTTTTTTTCTTGTTACGATGAGGTGAGAGTGAGGGAAGGCGACTCATGCTCATCCAAACAAAAGTTCAGGTAAAATTATGTGTTGTTATGAGAGTATAATTATAGGCGATTATTGTAACACGTTAAGCGAATCCCACATCGACAAAGTACATGAGAGATATATGGTTCATAAGTAAGAAACAGACATTAACTCCCAAGACGCGTTTTGAGCTGAAAATGAATTTTTGCGAGAATTTCGAAATTAAACGTGCTCAGTGTGTAGTACAACAAGAATGAGGAATTTTATGGAAAGTGACCTTGAATTGCACCCCAAGTCAAAAATCGTGAGAATCGAGATCCAAAGCGGATAATATCTTGATCGAGAAAAGGTCCGGGATGTTACCGTTATCCTTATCGTGATTTCCGTACTAAATAGGGTTTTCCTTGAGTGTGGAGTGTCGTACTCGTAACGCACGATGGCCATTGGAAGGAGACTTGTTATTAATTGATGGGGCGTTACAAATAGTAACTCCACTCACTAATTAGTTACTTTCTTGACCAAAAGTGGCAGACAGCCTAAATCAATCAACTATTATGTTGGTGGCTTTAGGCATAATGCTTTGGCTTTTGAGTTTCTTCTATGGAAATGAAATGACACGATTAACACATGTCTGTTGGTTGGGTTGGACAGTCATTCTTCTCGTTCTGTATCTTTATTGTGACTTTAAACAAATTGGGATGGGGCTGACTTTCCTTTTCCAGCATAAAGAATGACCCTTTGGTGGGATATGTATGGTATGGACTTCAGCCGGTTTTAACAACTCTTGCCGAAACTACGGGCGCTGTATAAGAATGGCAATCGATTAGGGTGATACCGGTTTTCATATAAACAATTTCCGAACTATAATTATTCTCGGAATTAAAATTATGCAGTGATGTAATATGGCATACCAAAAAAATTATGAACTTTCTTTGTCACATTTTTTTAAAACTGAGAGAAAATTAATAAAATTTGAGACCTAAGAAATAATTATATATAATGTTTTAGAGATAAACGAAGTAATAAGATGAATGAGTTTAGAATATAGGATAACATATGTTCGGGTGGGTTCAGTACTGCTGATGCTTAAAATATCAAACCGCACTAAATTCATTACTATCTATGTCGAATTCGGGGAAACCCCACTCAAAAATAATATCAATTGGATTTTTCTCCACAATATTGATTCAAATTCAGTTACATACCTACAGTGGTAGGTAATTTTGTCATCCTAGGACTGCAGGGATAGGACTTGCTCGATAAATTCCCCTCGGGGATACTTGTTTCAACTTTATTTTGAAGCTAGGGTACTTGTTTCACCTTGTTCTCAAAGTTGAGGAGTTTTTGTGAAAGTTAGAGAAATGTTTCTCCAAATTTGAGGAAAAATAAAGGGTACCTAGTACCTACCACATTGCAATCAGACCAATTTATACGATCGGGTTTAACTAGAAAATCGGAATTGAAATAAGTGACAAATTCAAGAATTTTATGCAGGGGTGTCATCTCCAAAAATTAAAATTAATTAAAAAAAAAATAAATAATTATTAGCTAAGAAAATTTCCGACTAGTAAAAAAGTCCATGACCTATTTTGCATTATGAAAAAAATGGTACAATACATTCGGTGTCTATACTGATAAACATATCTTTCTCAATATATCCTACTAGACAAAAGTAGCCGGTAATTGAGTTTAATCGTTATGTTTTTTTAAATAATTGGGGACAAGAATAACTTTTTACTATTATATTTGTATCCAGAACAAAACAACAAATGAGTTGTACTCTAATTGAAAATATGTTTACTAATAGTAGCAGTGTTCCCAGTTCAAACCACATAGACTACCACTTAAGTATTATTTGTAACTATTCGCAAACTACGCTACGAGAGGTTGGATAATCATTTTCCCAAATTTTAAAGATATCCGCTACCATTTATTTATGTTTTTACCCATACGCAAATTACAATCGAAGGTAGGATAATTTTTCCCACCAAATTTTAGGGTTGTCCCGAAACGCCCCTAAACCTCCATGGATCCGCCACTGATCGAATCCCTAGTTGTACTTGCTGATGTCAACATCTCTCGATTATGAAACTAATATTATTCTTGTAACCAAAGCAATCATTTTTATCCATAAAATGGATAAAACATGTAGGAATTGCAATGGGGCAATATCAAGGCGGGTATCTTGATACTCTCGTACTCATCCCGCAACCAATTAGATATAGGTGACTAATTTATCATGGGACGCAGATCAGGACAAGTCGACTTATACAAATATGTGATTTAAAGAGAAAACATTATAAATATTCATTTTCATTTTAAAATTAAGAAACAAACTAGGTGAGTATTACCCGCCCTAAAATAGGTCAAAGGGGTTGAGTAAAATAGGTTAAATTAAGATTTTCATCCCTACACCTTAGATGTTGTCATGTTGTGCAGTAATGAATAAGTGAATAGTTATGGGGAAATTTTCAAGAAATAATTAGGTATGCAAGGCTTTAATTTAACATGGTCAATTAAACCTTCTTCTAAGGACTTGATCAAGGTGATTAATGCTCTTCAAACTGTCTTATAGTAGTCATCAGTCAGTATGTACCTCTTCTGGGAAAGACTTGATCAAGCTTATTATATAAATGCTGTTGAAATTGTCTTCTTCTTAGCCTTATTCCAGTGAAATTGAAAGAAGTCTATTGTCCTAGTCTCTTCTCATCTTTTCGGGACTGGATGGTTGTTAAAGCTATTCTTTTACTGGAGGAAAGTACGGCAGCATTCAACCATGGAAACTAAAAATTACTCCGCATAAAAAAAAATATAACATGTTGGAACTATGTAATTCTAACTCTCTCTCGTTCCAACGCCGTTGGCGATAGCTCCACCGGCGAACAGAGCAATCCTCTTACAAAAATGTACTTACAGACCAAATTGTGGAGAAAGCTACCAAAGGAAGTCAATGGACTTTCGTGGGAGAACAAAACATGGTGGCCGGCACCCTCAATGGTAATACAGAGCTCAACTTCTCAGAAAAAATTCAAAGAAAGGTTATGTGATCCGTGGAAAAAGACTCTTGTGGTTCGCCTTCTAGCCCGATCAGTTTCCTACTCTTACCTGTGTTCGGAGCTTAGATGGAAGTGGAGACCCACAGGAACATTAGATATCATGGTCATGGATCTCAATAAGGGTTATAGGTATAATATGCCCCTCTACTATGACGTTTTATCAAACATGCCCTTCTACTATTATTTATATTAAACATACCCCTGTACTTTGTAAAAATGATCAAACATACCATTTTATTTAAAATTTCATCCAAAAAACGTTAACCAAGGTCGAACTTTGGTTTGGGCGGCACAAATGTCTAAAATATTCATAATAATTTCAATTTTAGAATTTTTTTAGTTCTTTTGTATAGCCAAATAATTCGAATAATTTCACTTTGAATAGACCCAGAGAAATAAAACGGGAGACAAAACTGACATTTTCGCTCACATTTGCTGATGTCGGTTCGTCTAAATCTCGGTTCAACCATGGTTGGCGATTTTTTCAAAGGAATTTTAACAGAAGGGCATGTTTGATAATTGTTTCAAAGTATAGGGGCATGGTTGATATAAAAAATAATAGAGGGGCATGTTTGATAAAACGTCATAGTAGAGGGGCATATTATACCTATAACCCTCTCAATAATGAGACATTTCTGGTGACTTTCAGCAATGATCAAGACTACCTTCTCGCGCTCACAGGAGGACCATGGGTGATCCTTGATCATTACTTACTGGTTCATCAATGGACACTTAGCTTCCGTTCGACTGATAAACCTCATCGATCGCTTGTCGCCTGGGTTCAGTTCCCTGAGTTGCCTTTCCATTTCTATCATCGAGAAGTCCTCTTCGCAATTGGGAATTTGATTGGGCGCACAATCATGCTGGACTATCATACGAAAACGCTGCAAAGGGGGGAGTTAGCAAGGATTGCAATCGATCTGGACATGACAAAACCGCTTCCGACGATGGTATAACTTGACGGAATACAACAAGTTTTTATGAAAATCTCCTTCAAATTTGTTATGAGTGTGGTAGAATCGGGCATCTTGAAGATCATTGTCCCGAATGTCATCTGTTGGAAATTTGGTTGAATCGGACTAATCAGTCAAACCGGTTTTGGGTTGGATCGACCAACCGGTATGGGATTAGACCGACCGAACCAATATTCTAATTTCATGAAGGGACACATCCCTTTGGCCTAGTGGCGGTTGCATTATTTTATGGATAAGGATGGTCAAGGATGGTCTTATGGATAAGAACAACCTTATGGATAGAGGCAACCCTTCATATGGATAAGGATAACCTTTCATATGGATAAAGGCCACCTTTCGTATGGATAAAGGCAACCGTTCATGAAACAATGCATGGATTCGACCCCTATAAATATATGTGTGGGGTGGATGGTGCCACATACCAAGATTCTTCTTCTTTCTTCCAAAAATTTCTAAGTATGCTTTAGAGTTCTTGAGCCTAGAACCTAAAGTCGTGATAGTTTTATCCTCGGGAGAAATTTCCTGTAACCCAAGAATTTATAGAGGATGGAAATATTCTTTTCGGAAAGCAGGGACGGAGCCAGGATTTGAGGCTGGGGGAGCCGAGCTTTTCTTACTATGTTATCGCAAAAAATCTAAAAAAGTTTAAAAATTATATTATACTAATCATATAAAAAATTCTGAGATATTAAAAATCCTTATTTTATTTGTATGACATTATAATTTTAAAATTGTTAAATTTTATAATTTTATAATTGCACAAGATCTTGTTTGACATGATTAAGATAACTCAAAATAGAAGTTATACTAACAATGTTTTCACATTCAGTTCAATACAAATTACAAAGCTATAAAAAGGTAACAATGAATGTTAAAATTGTATAGAAAATTATATTTTCATAACTAAAAAATTGATGTCTGTCAAAATTAGTATTGAAAAATTATCTTTTATTAGAAAACAATCCTTCAAATTGAAGAATTTTGTTCTAATTGGAATTTAAGGACTTAACAAACTAAAAATGAAAGTAAATTATTTACTTGTTTTGTCAAATGAAAACTAAAACTCTATTTAGTTTTAAAAAATTAAAAGAATTGAAAAGACAGAACAGTTAAGAAATATGTAAAATAAAAACTTTTATATGAAATAAAGTACAAAACCGAGGAAAAAACTATAAAAGTGCTTCCGCTCCCAAAAAATGTCGTGGCTACTAGCTACCACAAGGGGTGCGGTTACTGTGCTAATTGTACAATAGTTAGCACCGTCCTAACCAAGGGAAAAACTACTACTAGTTTGAATTAGTAGTGATTTAGTTTAGATGTTGTATTGATTTTATAATAATCCGTAGTAATTTCGTTATTTTTAGTAGCGTTTTTTGCTAGTTATCACGGTGCTAACCCCTATAAGGGTTAGCACCTAATCCCATCCCTACCACAAGGTATCAAACACAGAATTTCTAGCTTGTTTAACAACTCTTAAACCGTTAGACTAAGTAAGCTGGTTTGTTATTTTCGTGCACTCTCAACTTATTTATATAGGTTTTAATATTTATACGTAAAATACCCAACCGTTTATGCGTGAACTCCAAAATTCTCGGGGGCCGGGGCCTCCCCGAGGACTAAGCTAGCTTCGCCCCTGTCGGAAAGTGAACGTTGTTCATGACTCTATCATAATCCTAGTCACCCAGTCTCGATCTATCGTACTTATACATTCGTCCCTAAAATTCCCAACAATCGAAAAGAATATTTTCCGATATGATGGTTGGAACCGCTCTTTGCAAGAAACAGGTTCCAGTTTATGGAATTATGAGAATGTTCGATGATGAGTTTTTCATCGATGATAGTAGAAGATAAGTTTTCTTCATACTAGTCTCTTGGTGTCTTCCATATTCGGAAGGTAACTTGGAAGAGGGATGATTCGAAGATGAGGAAGAAGGAGAAGGCTTCGTAAAATGGAGAAATAGAAGAATGACAATTGCCTTTGTGCAGGTCACATACTCAATGGTAAATTAGTCTAATTCTCTATTTGACATTTTTGAAGTTCTAGACAAATTTGGATTTGTCTAGTGGTTTGGTGGTGTGATTTTGTCTAGGGGTTTATGTTATTTAAACTAAGGAGACAAAATGTATATAAAATTTATGATGATTTTGGTAATGGAGTCATCGTACATTTGTATGTATATGACATGCTTATCTTTGGGACCAATAAAAGATAAGTGAACTTTTGATAAAAAGTTGTTATTTAAATTCTCCATGTGGGACATGGGGGAGGTAAATGTGATTCTATCTATTGAATCAAGCGGTACAACAAAGAATATTCCTTCTATCATTTTTTTCTTCATTGAGAAGGATTGGACACATGGCGGGTAATAGTGTTAAGGAACTTAGAAGTTTGAAAACTTAAGTGTATAATATCTTCGAATATTCACATGAGTCAATGAGTTCAATCGTTAACGACACCCTTTGTATTCGAGTATTTGTCAAGTGTAATATACTAAGATTAAAATTCAATCGTCACGATATTTTCATTTATGCTTAAGTTTTGTTGGAAGAATGTTGTGATTTTAGTGAATTCTATAATACACTAAAATGGGGGAGGAATGTTAGAAATTTGGTTGAACCGGACTAAACAAGTCAAACCGGTTTTACGTTGGACCGACCAGCCGGTTTGGGATTAGACTGACCGAACCAATATTCTAATTTCATGAAGAGACACATCCCTTTGGCCTAGTGGCGGTTGCATATTTTATGGATAAGGATGGCCTTATGGATAAGAACAACCTTATGGATAGAGGCAACCTTTCATATGGATAAGGATAACCTTTCATATGGATAAAGACAGCCTTTCGTATAGGCAACCGTTCATGAAACAATGCATGAATTCGGCCCCTATAAATATGTGTGGGGTGGATGGTGCCACATACCATAAACAGATTCTTCTTCTTTCTTCCAAAAATTTCTAAGTATACTTTAGAGTTCTTGAGTCTAGAACCTAAAGTGGTGAAAGTTTTATCCTAGGGAGAAATTTCCTGTAACCCAAGGCTTTGTAGAGGGTGGAAATATTCTTTTCGGAAAGTGAACGTTGTTCTACTCTATCATAATCCTGGTCATCCAATCTCGGGCTATCGTACATATACCCTCGTCCCTAAAAGTCCCAACATAATCCTCCCCAGGGGTTAGCTTTGGCGGTGGTTTCTGGTTACACCTCGATGAATCCAACGGTGAGCCAGTCGCCGGAGCTCCCCACCGGCTATGGTTCGTGGATGCAAGTCACACGAAAATCACGGAAACAGATAAAGAACAAAATGGGTAATTCGTCAAACTAACCTCTGTCAATTGGCATGGATTCAGGGAAAATCGCATCAAAATCAGGTGGAAAAGGGAAAGTGGACAATCATAAAGGCGCAATCTCAGCGGAGAAGAAAGGAAAGAAAGAAACCAAAGAAGAACAGAAGAAAGGATTGCAAGGATCACAAAAGGGGAAAGCAGGGGATATGGAAACAAGGGATGCTAACGGGGAAAAGAAACTCAACGACTCTCAGGAGTGGCGAGCGAAGGAACCCAAAGGAAAAAATTCACAAGCAATCCCATTTCTGGCTTTTGAAGGCCCAAAGCTCACATGTGGGCCAAGCTTCTTCTTCAAGATCAATCCCCTCGCAGGAAGTGATTGAGGGCCCGAACAACACGACGATTCATCTCTTCTCGGTACCTAAGTTGACAACTGGTCAGAAAGAGAACGTTGACCCAAATTCAAATCGAATTTTAGCCCGCCAACGGTCACAGAGAAAGAAAGAGGAAAATTCCCAGATACAGCCTCAAAACAAAGGCATAAGCCTCAGAGCAAGCAAGAAGCCTCTTCAAATCATCGCAGCCAACAAGAAGACCTCGCCTAAGAAATCCTTGGAGGGTAGTTACCCGATAACCCTCAAAGTAGGGGGTGGGCGTTCGGTCGGTTCGGTTTGAAACAAACCAGGACATGTCGAATTTCTGATGTACCCAACACCCCAACCGAATTTGAACCAAGCTATAACTCAGTTTGGTTCGGTTTAAATGCCCAGAACCGAAATGTACAGCTGCTGCCCCCTTTATGCATGTTGCCTTTTGGTCTGTTTCGCTAGAACTGGAAATTTGGCATGGGGAAATTTGGCATGGGGCTGGCTGCTCACTGCTGCCATTTCACATGCCATTTATACTTTTCCACCTGCCATTTCACATGTCTATCAAATACAATTAATTAAAACAAGCATTTAAATTTGGAAGATAAATCAATTGTCCACTACACATTACATCAAGTTCAAACACATTACATCAAGTTGGAAGATAAATCAAGCACATTCAACACAAACACATTACATTACATTAAGTTCTTCCAAATCCAAATATTCATTACAACACAAATTATTCTAAGTTCAAACTAACAAGAGAAAGGTAACCAATGTATAAATTCCAAGCATAACTTGTACAAACTCCAAAGGTCTTGCTTCTTGGCTCTTCCCTCTAGGACAATTGACACCTTTGAATTCGAAAATAGTACAATAAACACGAAACAGTGATGGTTAGTGATTAATAATTTTTGAGCTAATCACAAGTAACCAAGTAGAATAAAATCATTAGTTCTTACCTTTGAAGTCATCAATCATGCATAGAAACATCGGAAGTATCACCACAAGCACTAGTGGATGCACTGCCATCGTTCCTCCTCCCACTCGCTACATTGGAAGTCGAGGTAGATGAAACTAGATTATCTCTTATAGAGATTGCATTCATCAACTTGTCCAATTATGTATGATTAAATAGACTCAAAATTAGTCATGACATAAAAATTAATCATGTTGTAAATATGTAATGCTAAATTAGAAACTTACCTTCATCTATTTTCTCAACCTCTTTTGGATCCTCCTCGGTTAATGGTGGTGCAGAATCACCTCGAATCCAATCTGAGCTACAAATTAAATCCTCTACTATCTTAGGAGTCAATGAACTTCTGAAATCATCTAGAATCCTCCCACCAGCGCTAAAGGCAGATTCAGATGCAACGGTAGAGATTGGAACCGCTAGAACATTCTTAGCCATCATGGAAAGGACAGGAAACCTCAAGATGTTAAGCTTCCACCAACCTAGTACATCAAATTTGAGCACCATTGGCTCGTCTTCCTAACGAAGGTATTTCTCAAGCTCAGATTTGTTTCGCCCCTACAATTTGCTCTCTATGCTTTCTGTATTCATCAAGTAGATCAAGCTCATCAGCATCACACTCCTCCGCAATTGGGGCCAAAGAAGTAGAGGCATTATTGCTTTGTTTTGACTTCCAAAGCTGTTCATAGTGAGCACATAGATCAAATGTAGCGGTCTTCAAATCCCCCACCATACGTGCTCTTTTGCCACCCTCATGATACACCCTTTTCAAAGCAAAGTCAACAAACCCATCTTGTACCTCGGATCCATTACAGTGGATATGTAAAGTAGCTTGTTCATTTTATCCACATCTCCCCAATACTTCTTGTACTTCATCTACATCTTGGTTGCCATGATACTCAAGTTGACATCTTTATCAACTTCCGTCTCCCACTTGTTTATCAAATGATATAGGGAATGCACTTCTTGTAAGAACACTTGATAATTAAACCCAAGTTTGATGAAGGGAACTATCATGACAATTGACAGGGCCTCGGCCTTCCCAACTATTTTCATTGCAAATTCTAAACTTACAAACTCTAAACTTACAAAATTATAAATTAGCAACAAATCTGCCAAAACATCCAAACTCAACAATTAATAACCTACCAAAACATGTACTTTCTCAACTGGAATTTGTTGATTGTCGGTAGTATTGGTGTTGGTGGACCGCCGGTATTCTTTTGTTTGCCCGGTTTCCGACTGGTGGAGGCAGTCATGTCGATTGTGGCTTTGGAAGTTTGGAGTCTGACTTCGGAGTTGGAGTGTACGAGTAGAGGAGGGAGTTTCGAGTGATGGCATTCGGAGGCGACTGAAAATTCAGTGGCAGCCGGAGGAGACTCGGCGGCCGGTGTGTGCTTGCCTGGGTCTGGGTGGGATTGTGGGAGGCGGAGAGCCGGATAGCGGTGCCTGGTGGCGAGGGTGAGCCGGTGAGGATCGAATTGAGAGGGAGACGAAGCAGCCTCTCAGGTCGGGCCGTCGACGTCGTCGTGCTCGGGCAGTGGAGGAGGAGTCGCGGTCGGCAGTCGCTGCAAGTGCGTCGGATTCGGCTCGGCTTCTTCTTAGTTCTTCATTTCCTTCCCCTTCCCATTCCCTTTGCCGCTTTTCGATTTTGTCAATTCGATGATAGGCCGCTAGGGTTAGTCGCAGACGAGTCAACGGTCGAGTTGTGAAGAGGCCACTAGACCAAACACAGCAGACGTAAGAAATGGAGCAGGCCCAGGCCATGATGGGAAGCCTAATACAATTTGTTGGACTGGGGCAGAGTGGGCTGAAAAAAGAAGGCTGGGCCGCGAGTATTGGGCTGGGATTCAGGCGGTGGGTTTATATTTTCGGAATTCGGTCGGTTTTTTGGAATTGAGGTTAGGTTCAAACGAACCTGATTTCCGAACTTTCCCCTATTTACATACGAATTTCGAACCTAATTACAAGTATTTCGGTTTCGGTTGGTTTTTATTCGGTTCGGTAAAACCGAACCTAATGCCCACCCCTACCTCAAAGCCATTGAGGAGTTTTATGCCCACACTCAATCGAAGGCTCTGGAATTTCAGAAACTCTTCCACGGGAAACCGTCTGATGTGGACATGGAAGAGAATCAAGTGATGACCGCTACAAATCCCCAGCTTGAAGTTGATGGAAATCAGGGAGGACCTCCTGCCACTCCGGTGGCCACTACCTGATCTTTTGAGTTTTCCCCTGATTCTGGCTTTTCCTTTCTGTATTTCTCTAGTTTTTTCTATGTCTGTACAACCTAACTTTAAAATTCTAGCGTGGAATGTGTGTGGCGCAGGAAGTAAAGACTTCGGGGGGGGGGGGGGGGGGGGGGGGGGGGGGGGGGGGGGGGGGGGGGGGGGGGGGGGGGGGGGGGGGGGGGGGGGAATTAAGCTTCTTGTCCAATCCTACAGTCCTGATTTTCTTCTTCTTTATGAGCCCCAGATTAGTGGAGATCGTGCAAACAGAGTTTGTGGAACTTTGGGTTTTGATGAAGTAGTGAGAGTTGATGCCAAGGGCAGACAAGGCGGTATTTGGATGGCTTAGAAGACTGAGGATTTTAACGTGCAGCTAGTAGATGTCAACAGGCAACACATCACTGTTAAAGTCTCTAGAAGCAATCAAGAAAAGTGGTTACTCACTAGAGTGTATGGAAGCCCTCATTACAAATTCCATCAATAGCTGTGGGAACACCTCATACAAACCAGTAGAAACACTCGGATTCCCTGGCTCATCACTGGCGATTTCAATGCTTACCGCTTCCCTTCAGAGAAAGCTGGAGCAATCACCTTAGCCGCGCTTAGACGTTGTCAAAAATTTGCTGATTGGATTGATTTGGCTAATCTTATTGATTTGGGCTTTTCAGAGGCCATGTTTACTTGCTTTCAGTGTAATTCAGGAGCTCACTTTAAAGCCTGTAGAATTGATAGATCATTCTGCAATTCGGACTGGAATTCAGCTTACCACAACACTTCTGTTCAACATCTTCCCAAGCTTCACTCTAATCACCTTCCTATTTTAAGCAGTTGTACAGGGAGCATGCCTACTCCTAGTGGAGGGAGACCTTTGTGTTTCGAGGCTGCTTGGCTACTTCACAAAGATTTCCATAACTTTTTTGCAGCTGCCTGGAAAAAAGACCTCAACCTTCACCAAGCTTTACATGATGTTGCTAGCAAGCTCAAAATCTGGAACAAGGAGACGTTTGGTATCATTAATTAGAGGAAAAAGAGGTTGTTGGATCGGCTAAAGGGAATTCTAACCAGTATTGCCAATAATTTCAATCCAGGACTCATCAAACTGCAATCAAAAGTCAAAGCAGAGTTAGACATTTTGCTCGCTCAGGATGAGGTTATTTGGTATCAAAGGGCTAAAGAAAATTGGGCTACGCTTGGAGAACAGAATTCTGCCTACTTCCACCAACAAGCAACAAGGAACAGAAGAAGGAATAAGATTCTGGTTCTTAAAGACGAAGCTGGGAATTGGGTGGAAGATCCGGTAGAGTTGGAACAGCTGGTGGTAGGATTTTATTCCAGACTGTACAAGCAAGATCCCACTCCCTATCTAGACCAAATTCCTAAGAATTGTTTCCCAAGAATTGACCAGGAAGATCTTTTAACCCTTCTTCGCCCTTTCTCTTTTTCAGACATTCATAAAGCGATTTTTGGAATGAAACCTTTCTCTGCTCCTGGCCCTGATGGTCTCCATGCAGTTTTTTTTACCAAAAATTGTGGTCTTTAGTAGGGCAAAACACTGTTGATCTAGCCACCTATTTCTTTGAAACAGGTCATCTCCCGACAGATGTGCTTGATTCCAACCTTGTTCTTATTCCCAAAGTTAACTACCCGGAGTCCCCTGCCTAGCTAAGACCAATCTGTCTCAACAATGTCAATTTGAAGGCCATCACGAAGGCAATGGCTAATAAATTGAAGCCGTTAATGAGGAAATTGGTGAATCCGACTCAAAGTGGGTTTATACCAAAAAAGACAGACCACTCATAACATCATCATCCTTCAAGAGGTCTTACATTCTCTATGTCGTAGGAAGGGGAAGAAGGGAGGATTAGTGTTCAAGATCGATCTTGAAAAATCCTATGATAGGCTTAGGTGGGAGTTTATCAGAGATACCTTGATAGAAATTGGGGTTCTTAGTACTTGGATTAGCAGAATCATGAAGTGTGTGGAGGAGAACATGATGAAGATTAATTAGAATGGCAAATTTACGAACTGGATTCTACCCCCTCGGGGAGTCAGGCAGGGAGATCCCCTATCTCCCTACCTCTTTGTTCCTGTATGGAGCGCCTCTCTCACCGTATTGAGTTAGCCGTGGAAAGCAATGAATAGAAGCCTCTGTCGCTTACCTTTCATGGTTTTAAACTTTCTCACCTCTTCTTTGCAGACGATTTGATTTTGTTTGCAGAGACATGGATCAAGCAGGTAGAGGTAATCAAGCGTTGCTTGGACGAGTTTTGTGATAGTTCAGGACAAAAGGTTAAATTGAGCAAATCCATGATTTTTGTGTCACCAAATATCAGTTGCCAGAAGGCCCAACAATTCAATGACCGAGCCAATATCCCACTCACTAATGACTTGGGGAGATACCTGGGTCTCAATGCAATTCATGGAAGAGTCACCAAGGCTAGGTACAAGGACCTAATCCTTCGTATCCAGAAAAAACTAGCCTCTTGGAAGACAAATTACCTTTTGCTTGCCTCTCATTTGAATTCGGTGAGATCAATTTCTTATTCTGTGGCAGTCTATCCAATGTTTTCCGAAGCTTTCCCTGCCTCTGTTTGCAATTTGTTGGACAGGGTTAGCAGAAAATTTGTTTGGGGAGAAGAAGAAGGAGAAGGGAAATTCCATCCAGTTGGGTAGGAGCAGTTAACCCTTCCAAGGGATCAGGGAGGAGATGGTATTCACCCTACTAGACAGGCTAATCAAGCCATGCTTGCAAAAGGCAGCAAGAAGCTAGCTACGATGGAAGAAACCTTATGGACAAAACTTATGCTTGACAAATATGGCGGCAACAGAGAGGGCATCAACATCCTAAAAAAAACAGGGAAGTTCTATGGCATGGAGAAGCTTTGTCTTTGCTGCTAATGTGTTGAGGAAGGTTTTTCCATGAATGTTAAGAATGGTAAGCGAACTAATTTCTGGTGTGATTCCTGGGTTTTGCAGGTTCCCCTGAAGGAGCTTCCACTGTGGAGGTTCCAGAAGAGCAACTAAATCGGAGCGTGGCTAATTTATGGGATTCGGATTATGGATGGAAGCTTGCAGAGTTCCAGCACCTTCTCCCAGAGCAGATGGTTAATAAGATTCGAGCCATCATGGTTGACCCTCTGGACATGGAAGGTGATCAAGCTTTCTAGAGCATTACTGCGAATGGTCAATTTTCTGTTAGCGTGCCTATAAAGCAAGCCAGGAGTAGTCAGATTAGCAAACCAATTCAATTTGGAAAAACATTTGGAAACTCCAAGTCCCTGAACGAGCCAGAGTCTTCATATGGATGGCGGCAAGGGAAACTTACCACGAACATCATCAGGAAGCACAGACATTTAACTGATAATGACTCGTGCCCTGAGTGCATTAATACAGCAGAGACCAACCTTCACTGCTTAAGAGATTGTGGAAGGGCCAAAGCAGTATGGAACATGATTTTGGATCAACAAGGAAGAGGGAGCTTTTTCAGCAGCAATCTTGATACTTGGATTAAAACCAGCATCTTAAATGTTTCGATTGGAAATTGGCGTAGCCAATGGAACAATATTTTCAGCCTAATCCTTTGGTACCTTTGGAAGTGCAGGAACGAGAGGATTTTTAAAGGGATGAAATTGACCATACCGACTTTGCATCACTATGTGGTGGCTAAGGCATCAGAGTGGGTGAAAGCTTGGAGTCCAGCTCCGAGGTCCTCCTCAATCAACGTTGGCACAAAATGAATATAAACGGCACAGCGCAAAGCAACCCATGTATGGTTACAGCAGGAGGTGTGCTTCGAGATCATGATGGAGTCTGGATTGGAGGATTCTGCAGCAAGCTTGTCTCTGGTACAACTCTTTTGGCTGAATTATGGGGCATTTTACAGGGACTGGATTTGGCTTGGAAAAAGGGTTCTCGCTTTCTCATTCTTGAGACCGACTCAAAGTTAGCACTGCAGCTCATTGATATGAGGAACGACAGGGTACATCCTTATGCAACAATGCTTGGCACTATCAGAAGAATTTTGGCCAGAGAATGGGTGGTTCGATTGGTGCATACGTATCACGAAGGGAATAGAGTCGCGTACTGGCTCTCAAAGCACAGTCTCGTCTATCCCTATGTTCCCCTGTTTTTTTTTCACTTTTGATCCCCTGTTTTGGTTCTGTTTCGGTCTACTCTGTCCTTTACTCCTAGCCGTTAGGAGTTTGTAGTTTCTTGGCAGTTGCCTCCTTTTAATAAAAAAAATTAATTCTATGTAATAACGATAATAATAAATGTGGTTATTAAGAAACACATCTCGACCCATAGGCCATACTCCATAACCGAAGAAGTCATCAATCAAAACACATCCCCACTCCACTTGTAATATGTACTAGCTTATAACCCGGCCAGTTGGCCGGAATGTTCATATTTGATTATTGATATTTTTATGTTACGTTTAAGTCTATCAGCCTGTTTAATTTTATTGACAATCCTTTGATCGAAATGATATATAAAGAAAGAATATATAGGTCAAAAATTCGGAGAAACACCACAATCATTTAAGAATATTAAATATGAAAATGTATCATTGATCCCATTTTCATAGTGATAATAAAGCCCCCGTTAAAATGCTATTGATTAGTTGATTGTCAAGAAATATAGAGTATAAATTTCACACGACCTGTAGAAATCAACCCCACAATCCTACATAAGGGATTTTTTACAAAAGATAATCGTATATTGATTAAAAAAATGCTATCATTTTAGAAAAATATGCCACTAATAAAAAAGAAATGGAGAGTTGTTGATTCAAGTCAACTATACACTAACAACTCAGCTAAGAGGACCATCAAAACTTGAGAGCAAACAAATTAATTAGGGTTACCTCCAATATACTAACAGACTCCATCAAAGTAATAAGACACAAAATTAGATAGTCCTTATCTATCAGTTCCAGTAGGTTGAATCGAGTTGCTTCAGTAAATCAATCCATCAATGATTCCTCGTTTTAAGATAGAAATAGGTTGTGATAGATTCAAAAATCATAAACCTAAAGATCCAATAGCCACCACTCTTTGTCGTACAACCAAATTTTTATCCACTTTATCGTCAATTTCAAGAGGCATATGTTTCAACCAAAAAATCAATTTCTAATCCTCCTTCTGCAACTCCATTTATTGAACTCGATTCTGTTCGGATTGATATCAGAGTTGGCATCTTCTACTTGCCTAGCTTAAATCCCCAACAATAAAATCGTAGTGCCAAGACATACCGGAAGATTAATTTTCAAACACGGAGTTGTACTGGCAAGTGAAAGGGGCGCAAACTATTGCACGCTGTAGGGAATTTCAGAGGAAGTTAGAAATGGATGAGAACACAGATAAAAAAGCACAAAATTTATATTTAAATTGAATACTACATATGGTAGACTTAGTGGGCTTGCTAATCACGATGGAAAAGTTCTCATATTCTTAGAGTTTAACTTCGTGTATTTTTGTATTCAAGAAGATTCAACAAATATATTTAGTGTAATTAGTTGCGATTGTTGTCTTTGTTTGTAGAGACCCGGGTTCAAATCTTCATATTAACATTTTTATATGATATAAATAATTAATTGTAAAGACCAAATTATCCTTCCTATATTCACTCTCATTGCAGAAAATTTGAAATGAAAAAAAGTAGATAAAACTCTACTATATATTATTGGAGGATAAACAGACTTCCGTTCCAACTGAACATAGACATAATATTTTGAGGTAGTGTGTCTATAATCCTAACTAGTGATAATGATTGAGTTCAAAACAAGTTGGGGATCGTAATAACCGGGCCTAGTCTGCTTGTTCCTAAGTTGCTCTGACCTGCTCCTAGCTCCAACATGTGTTTATTTTCACCGATCTACGACGGGGGCCGATTTTATCCATCTTGGCCTGTTCTAGGTTTTTTAGTAGATGCAATGATAATCTTGTTTCTAAATGGTGCAATACTAATAATTGAATCTTTCCCATCAATTCGAGTTATCGAGATAATTGATATTTGACATGATATTAGAGTTTGAATAGTAGTAAGTCGACGATGGATGCAGTAACAAACACTTTGGATGTGAGTTTCTCTTTTAGCCAGTCGAGCGTTCCCCCTTCCTTTTTTTTTCTTCCTGTGTGAGTTCAATAACCATGCGAGTGGAGTAACAACAGGGCAAGAGGAAGGATGGATGCGGAGAGAAGAATTTAAGGAAGGCCAAGTTTAGAGGAAGGACACGCACAAAGATTTGGTCTAATGAGAGAGGGAGAAGAATTAAAGGAAATCAAGTATAAAGGAAGGAAGCGAACAAAGGTTTGATCTAATGGGAGAGCGGGTCGTAGGGGAGAACAAACACACCCGCAAACCAACTCACCTGTCCAATAAAATCCAACCCACCCGTATTTATCGCTAAAACTAAGGTTTAGGGTTGGGTGATGGTTTTCATTTTACAACCCCCTCTTTTGGGTTGGATTTGGATTTTGGATTACACAACCCATAGAACCTGACCCAACCCGTGTTCCAACTATTGGCATGAGTTCGTATCAAAAAATATTTATGTCGTATATAGTCATACTTATGAGTTATGAGAAAATTAAAATATTTCTATTAGAAATCCAGTTATTAGGGTTTCTAAGGAATGACGTAACCAGATAGATAGAAAGGGATTTAGGGGTTGAGAATATAAATTAGGGATTTAGGAGAAGAAATTAGGGATTTGAAGAAGAATGGCTTAAGCCTTTGAGAGAGAAAGAGATTAGAGTTTAGCGAGATAGTTCTTTGATTAATCTTTGCTTAATCGTAAATGAACGGCCGAATATATATTTATAGGAAATAGCGGAATAAACCTGATAATAACCCTAAACTTAATCCCCAAGTTACTAATATTCTTAATAATTATCCTACCATAAATAATGATAGAATCCCACATAAGGTGGGTTTCTAACAATCCATCCCCCTTAAAAGCAACCTTGTCCTCAAGGTTGCAGTCAACCTTCATTTTCTTGACCTTCCGCTTTCTTCGTTTCCAGTTGCGCTCCACCTCACGAATGACTTCTTCTTCGACAACTCCAGCTTTCTTCAACTCGTCTTGAACCATGTGACATATGTCACGTTCTCCATAGCCAAACAATCCTTCCTTTTCCTTTTCAAATTTCACAAAATAAGAATTGGAGAACTGTTCTTCCTTGTGCTCCATAAATTCCTCTATAGGCTTGGTGGTGAAAACAAGCTCTTTTGAGCACCAATCTCCTCCAAGTAGGTTTGGATTAAGCTTCCTAGAAAGCCCACATCCTTTTTTCTTCATGTTTTGCTCATGCAAAATAAATCCACTAAGATAACCTATTGATGGCCCAACTTCATTTCGTTGCTCAACTCACATCCCTCCAAAATTCTACGCAAGAGTTGACTCTAGTCCGATCCGATATTGCGGCCCACCTAGCTGCTCCCTTATCCTTGAATTGAGCCCAACAATTTTATTCTCACAATCCGGCCTACGACCCAGATTGATGGGCCCGTCTTCCTTCCACTGACCCGGACCCACGACACGCGCGACTCGGCCCAAGGTGGCTGGCTTGCCTCGGCCTAGGGTTCGATCGAGAAGGGATGCCGCCATCTTCCTCCTTTGCCAGCGACATTTCAGCCACCCTCTTCTCCGACGACGAGCCGTCACCCTCCTTCTTCTCTTCTCTCTGTGGTGACTCCATTTTCGGCGATGCCTGCTCCCTCCCTCTCGTCCTCCGCCGAACGGCGCACCAGGGCCCTTGAAGTCAACCCCGGTGACTTCTTCTTCGGCTTCTCCACCCTGACGGCCGCCTCCAAACTTCTTCTCCTTCCTCGACAGCGTGCGATCCCTCGCCTTCTTCTCCGACATCACGCTCGAGGACTTCGCCATCTTCAAGTGGAACCCAAATCTTCTTGTCGTCTAGATCTCGGCGGTCGCGCCGGCTAGCAATGGTGGTGCGCCATTCGCGGTGGCTGTCGCACCAGTCACAGGCTCCATTGACCTCAGCGCCGACGTCTCTTTTCCGAAACCCTCTGATATGGTCGATGACTCATGGTCGTCTTCTTTCTCCTCTTCGACTGGTTGTGAAGGCGCGGTGCTGGTTGCAGCTTCGGCAGAAGTGATGATTCGTGTCTCAACGGAGGTCTCCATCCCCTGGCCAACGGTAGGCGATCAGATCATTGATGACGATGGGGGAGCAGAGAGACAGGGAGACGCGTCGGCCACCCAATCTTCCTCGCCTGATCTCTGCTTCTTCTCCCTGAATCGCCAGTTCACCATGCAGCTCGCCCTCATCCTTTGCTCGTTTTCTCTAGCCTGCACCTTCCACAATGACTCGCAGGCCCGTGGGTCTCCTTCTACTGCTTCTTGCTGTTCACTTCATTTGGTTGTGATGTCGGTGCGATTTGCAGCATCTACGCCTGTGTTGGGAAGGATCCGTAGCATCTTTGCCTGCGTGGTTGCGGCAGAGAGAGCCTCCAATTTCATCGGACACATGGTACCACTCAGCTGTGGCTGGCCCACTGCCGTCTCCCGCTGTGGCAGTGCGATGATGGTGGTGGATGATGCCATGATTGTAGGCAAAACCACCACAGGATCCGGTTCCTCCTTGGCGACGAATTCTTCCTTTTTATCATCATAGTCGTCGTTCCACCAGCCATCATCATCGTCCCAATCAGATGACGCCAACTGTGCCAAAAGTTGGTTCATGTCCTCCTTCCTCGTATTGATGCCAGCTGTGTTTAGGTTGACGGTGCTAACCTGCCATCTCGTCCCATATTTGTCATTGAGAGCTTTCAGCTGGTGATAACAATCTTGCAAAACATGATCGAAGTCATCCCGGTTGAGAGTTGGTTGAGAGTTGTGATGAACTCAAATTCGTAATCATGGCTTTGATACCACTGTTAGAAATCCAGTTATTAGAGTTTTTAAGGACTGACGTAACCGGATAGATAGAAAGGGATTTAGGGTTTGAGAATAGAAATTAGGAATTTAGGAGAAGAAAATAGGGATTTGAGGAAGAACGGCTTAAGCCTTTGAGAGAGAAAATAGACGAGATTGAGAGAGAAAGATATTAGGGTTTAGGGAGATAGTTCTTTGATTAATCTTTGCTTAATCGTAAATGAACGGCCGAATACATATTTATAAGAAATACCGGAATAAACCTGATAATAACCCTAAACTTAATCCTCAATTTACTAATATTCTTAATTATCCTACCATAAATAATAATAGAATCCCACATAAGGTGGGTTTCTAACAATTTCTCAATGCTTCTTTCTCATGATCTCACTAATCTTATGCATTCTTCTACTTAAAGTTTAGACATAGTTTTAATATAGCTATGATTCACGTAATCCTTTTTCTTGTGTAAAATTTTAATAGAATAACATATTGTGTTTATTTATAACCTCTTTACCCTATTTCGGCAAATGTCGTGGAAAAAATTAGACATGTGTTGTAGTAAATCACATTTTATTAAAATTCAAACAACATTTGTGTATTTTGATACCTTTCATCTCGGTTTTATTCATTTGAAATTTTAATTAGTTATAAAATATTTTTATGGTGTAGAATAATTACATATTTTTTGGTGGGTTGTGTTTTGACTTAAAAATATTGCCAACCCGACCCAACCCAATTTGAAAGGAGCTGTAGGATTTTAATTTTTTTAGTTAGTTTGGATTTAAAATTTCTCAAACTGTAGTGCATGGGTCGGGTTATTAAAATGGCTAAACTCAGACCACCCAACCCATGTACACCCCTAGTAGGGAGGAGGAGGGCAAGGAGTGACTAGGTTGTCAACCTGCGGATTGACCAGGACCCGATCGAGCTAGTGGGTCAAGGGTTAATAGGTCACCCGTTTTAGCCCGGAAATATGGAAAGAGTCATTATATTATACTTATCCTGATAAATTATATAAAATTTCATCTAATATATGAGTTATAACATAGAACATTACACCAAAGTAACATGTCGTACTTAGATCCAACATGTAGTGAAAATTCACACACTTATATAACATCAATATTCAAATGTTCAACTAAGGATTCTAAAGATTGAGTTAAGCGAAAAGAAATCGGAAAATAGGCGCATTTTGCAAACCAAAGAAAAAAATGACATAATTTGACCTCCAACCCGATACCTTGTCGCGGTCGACTTGATGGATAAATGCTGCCCGTTTTTCTCACCGGATCAGGATTAAAGTGGGTCGACCCGCGGGTTGACAACCTCAAGGGGACCTTTAGGACTTAGTGGGAGAGCGGGTCGTAGGGAGCGGGTCGAATTGGGTGAGTGGGCCGGAGGTGTGTTGGAGGGAGATACTGGCGGGGGTGGGCTTGTCAGGTGGAATGGTAGGCTCAGGGAGATTGGATGGGTGGACCAAGGTAGTGGGCTGGGCAGGTGGAAGTGTAAGGATATATGTGAATTTCATAAGGGAATTATCTTGGGATACCGAGCCTCGGGTAGTGGATTCTGGTAACGGGCTGCATTTATAATCTGCAATAGGAAATGAGGCCCTATTCCAAAAATAATATGTTTTGACATATGTAAACAATCACTATTGAGGATAACACGTAAATATTGTTTTCTCTTCTTGTGATTATGCTATTTTGACACACTAGTTTATAATTAGGCGCGTTGGCCGGAAGGTTCGTATTATGTATTTATATTTTTATGTTATATTTAATTTTATCAATCTGTTTAATTTTATTGATAATTCTTCGGTCGAGATGATACATAAAAAATGAATGTATAGGTTGAAAATTTGAAGAAATACCATCATTATTTAAGAACTAAAATATAAAAATGTATCATTAATCTCATTTCAATGATAATTAAGGCCCATTAAATTGCTATTGGTTAATTGATTGCCAGAAAAGATAGAGTATAAAAGCCCCACGGATTTCCCACACGGCCCATAGATAATTGGAAAATAAAATTAAAATCTCATAATTCTACATAAATGGTTCAATGTTCTCCTTTTAGTAACAACATGTCACTAAAAAAAAAATGAGAATTGTTGATTCAAGTTAACCATATACTAACAACTCAACTAAAAGGGGACCATCAAAACTTGAGAGCAAATGTCAAAATTAGGGTTATCTCAAATCTTAATCTTAACTTATATTATGGTTGTTTTGGACAAAGATTATGCCACATTAGCTTTTGCTCATCACACAGTTACTCACTAATCTTTAATAAAACCCATTCTATGACAATTCCCAACATCTTACCCTCCATTTTTGGGCCCCATAGCAAGAAATGATCTATTTTGTTAAAGAAAGCCCTTCGCGCAAATTGCTTTGAATGGGTATGATGCGTTTAATTCAATTGTTTTCTCCATTCAATTTATTAGATATCTCTGGGCATTTACTCCTCATAGCCGGGTCCAATGTAATTTGTTAATTGCTTTCTACCTCTCCTAGCAACTTTAAGTTCCCTTTTTGGGACTGTGCAGGAACGACACAATTCTCTTATAGAAGAAAGTTGAATAATTACTTATTAGAAAAGGAAGAAAGAAAGTATACATAAGAAAGGAAGCGTATTTTTTGTTTCCACCAAAAAATTTTTTGTCCATTATTCCACATGAGTACCAAACTTAACACAACTTTTAATATGCTTTAATTTTTGTTTAATTATTGTACTCAATACCCATTACGTAAAGGTTATAGATCACAATTATTTTTTACGTAACAGTTAAATTATACGTATTATGCAGTGTTAATTTTCATTATGTAAAAGGACCGTCAATTACGTAAGCCTTCTATGATGACATTGTACAATTGTTATGTCAATACACATTAATTACGTAAAGATTACGAAAGATATCTATTTGTTATGTAGCAGTTAAATTTGGAGCGATACGTAAGGCTTCCGCAATGGCTTAACAATTTACGTAACACAAGGTTAATATTCATTACGTAAAAGTATAATCCATCACGTACGGTTATGTAATAACATGTTACAATTGTTACGTAAAAAAAGTCTATATTACATAATCATTACGTAATGTCTATTGTATTTTACGTAATACCACCTATGAAACCTGCTATAGTAGGATAAAAAAAATTCAGTTACCTAACGTCAACGTAGTGTAGGAATTTCCAAAATTATTACCCACCTTAAACGTGAGCATAAAATAATAATAGACACATAGTAGTCTTCTGGTATTACAAACTAAATAAACAACAATATATAAGTTATGGAAGGAATATGTAATTTAGGTTTTACATCAACTCTTTTGAGTGTTCTGTGATTGGTGTCGACTTACGCATTTGAATTTTTGTATTGTGAATCATACACATATGAAATACGTGACAAATTTTATTTAGTAGTGTCAATTTGTGTTGTATAAGTAATTGAGCATATAGAGTGTATTAAAAGTTAATGGAGAAAGGTGGTGGTTATGCATTGTGCATAGATTTGGGGCTAGGCACCTAAACTAGTCCCGACAATCTAAATAACAATGAACATTTGTCTTCCAAAAATTAAAGAAAATTTGCATATATTGTTACTTCTCTCATCCTACTATTGTTTGGAAAATATAAATTTTCTCTGTCACATTTTTCCTCCAATAAACATCTATAGTCATATGTATTTCCACTATGCTAAGATCTCTTTTGTTCGTAAATCCATTAAAATTTGATTACCCTCAGCAAATTGCTTCTATTTCATTGTTGACACGTGGATCATTCAAACATCCCAAGTTGCCATATATTCGTAGAATTTTGTACTTAAACTTCACTCAAGAAGCCATCATTCCCAACCTCAGTTGGATTTGCACGATCTAACCTCTCCAATAGATTCTCAATAGCAAAGCTTCATTTTTCAGTCAAAATACACCAATTATTGTATGTTTGTCACTATCTTAGTTATGTGATGTGTTTGTTAAAATGTCTATAAGAAACTCGACTATAAGGAGGAACATTACAGTTACTATTAGTACCCTTCTTTTTTGGGTGGTTGGTTACTGAATTAATATTGGATGTAATATGAAGCGGATTTATAGTGTTTTCATAACTAACATTTAATTTTTATATCATTTATAAAAATTTAAAGGTAAAATAGAACTATGATTGTATAGTTTGGGGTGTAGGATTGCAACTACACCTTGATTATATGCTTATGAGATGCAATTGTCTGACCTTTTGTGTTAATTTAAATCATTTGTATTTATCAGGTGTTTAATTATCAGACATGTCAATCTTTCACTTGAAACTCCTTCAAGTAAATGTCAATGTCGTGTTGCTCTAATGTCTAAGATAAAAAGTAAATATAAAAAAGAATTAAATACCACTCCCAAAGTCTTACTTTGTTGTAAGAAAGTAAAGACAAACTTTCAGCCACTAGAGAGCCCCATAAAATTCTTAAAGTTTTAGTATCATCAAACAACAAAGTTATTTTTTTTTATCCAAGATAAGCTCCCAGGGCATGGCCGGTCAACACAATTACAAGAAAGACACTAAAAAAGAACGGTAGTCCGTATGCAACAGGACTCCCGATAAAAGAGTCTGTTTTGCCACGAGGTGGGCAGCTCTGTTGAAGCTCCGAGGATCAAAAAGACACGAGACAGATAGGAAGGAGGAAAGGAGAGAGTGGACTTCCTCTAATATAGCTCCCGCTCTTGAATGCGAAGCCTTCTTTGGTGACACATCCTTGATGACCAATTGAGAGTCCCCACAAAAAACAACAGTCAATAAGTTGTGGGTGAGACACCATTTCATAACATCACGAATAGCAAGTAATTTTGATATATAGTCATCTGAGATACCCTGATAGAATTTACCGACTGCAAATGTGATATTTCCATCACCTGAAAAGCCGACGAAGCCAAGTTGCACATCCTTGAGGGATTTTTGTTGCCCCGTCAAAACGAACTAGGATACCTTCACTAGGGAGGGAAACATCTATTCTCCTTGAATGAGGACCTTGGCCTGTGGAAGAGTGGGGCATTGACTTTCGGACTTCTTCGGATCTCTGAACCTTCTGTGCCTC